GGTCGACGATAACTGCGCATGCGCCAAGTAGGAACACTTTCTCCGTTCCCAGTACTTTTCGCAGGGGCTGGCTGAATCAGGGGCATGCTTCCGGGTCGAAGGGTTTACTTCCGGAGAGCGGGAAGGCTGAAACGCGGTGGCGGCATTGCGGGCAGATTTGCGAGGTTCTAGCTGGCGGAGGCCGCAGCCATGGACAGGTGAGTCCTGGGGACGGCTGGGCCAAGACTTGTGGCTCTCGCCGGTTGGCGGGACGACGTGGTGAAAGCGGAGGAGGAGCCGAGGGTTGTACGTTCACTCCTTCCTTCTCCCTACCTGGGATTTGTTGGAGGAAAGGCCACTTGGTATGGGGGCAGCCAGGATGCAGAGGATGCAGATCCCCGCGTTCCACGCCCCGGCTCCGGGGTCTGTTGGGCGCTCTCTCGCCGCCGTTCGCCCCGAAGTGGGCGGGGTAGGTAGGTAGTGGCGGCCCGGCATTCGAAATGCTAAAGTGAGCAGGCAGTCCGAGGTCACTGCCGGTGAGCAATACTTGACATCTCAGTACTTTGCAAAGTGGCTTTATCGTGGCTATTAATACATTTCAGTTGTACGTTAGTACACTGTGATCAGCTTAACTTGAAGAGCCAGCACCAGGTAGCTGATTTTTCTCATGTAATCTGGTGATTATGCTCGCCTGGGACAAGGATGGGTTGGTTATTCCAGTCGCTTGGCATCGAGGAACCGATTGTGTAGTGAAGAGAGCCAAGCAGGGTAATACTGTATTATACTGTTCTGCGGGAAAATAAACAGAGGGGACGTTAAATTTCCCGTCACAGGTGTGTCAGGGAAACCTGTCAAAGGTAACTTGCTAGCTGGTACTCCTGGTAGAAAGGTTTAAGGTTTGGCTGTTGGAGTGACCTGTCCTTTGACTGACTCAGGGTCCTTTGCTCTAACTGCAGTGATAAAGTTGTTTTCGTAAATGCTGCCTAAAAGCTTAATTACACTATTTTAGGAGTGGCTTTGTGGAGATGCCATCCCCTGTGATCCGGGAGGCAGAAGTGACAAGGACTGCAAGGAAGCAAAGTGCTCAAAAAAGAGTTTTAAGTATCCTTTGTGTTTTAAGAATTACACAAATTGCAGAATGCTTTGAATCAATGTTGCAGGATTTTCTTTGAGTCATTAGACATTAACTGTGGTAAAAATTGGTTTATTACCTCCATGGGTATTTTACTTGGATACACACTCTGGATGAACTTCAGTGAGGTTAAGATTTCTGTTTCTCTGGTTCCCTACTAGTATGTCATGGTGCTAACTAGTAGTCAGTACATATTATCTAACTCTGATCTGAGAGTTTAATTGACCGAAGGAATTAACTACTATGTACACAGGAAACGTGGTAGCTGTAAAATGCTTTGTTCTTGACAAAAATGTATTCATGCATCTTGTGTAGTAAATCTATTGTTATCGTTAGTAATTTTTTTTTCTCAACATGGAAAGCTTTCCTTAATTCTTCCCAAAGTTCAGGCCAACCAAGATGAAAATTTTGGTAATACTACACCAAGAAGCCAAATTATTCTTCGAACTCCGAGCTCATTTCGACAGCCTTGTAAGATTTTTGTTTCTGCTTTTAAAGTATTTAATAGAGTAGTAGTCATAATATCAGCTAACATTTATATAATTTGCATAATGAAATATGTGGCAACAGTATCAGGAAGTAAGCATAGATAATAATGGTTATAGTTATCTGAACTCTTATGAATAAGGACTGTACTTTATATTAATACATAGTAATGGTGACATACTGTTAGTTCTCCAAACTAGAAGGTGGACTTGGAGGAGCCAGTGGGAGTGAGTGGGTGCTGTTATTTAGACATTGAAAACAGAGTTCAAATAACAGTCTGGTTTGCTTTAAAGTCCAGGCCCACTACACTCACTGTATGCCTCATTGTGCTCTCTGAAATCAGACAATGAAGGATCTGCTGACTGGTGCCACCTTGGTTGTTTTAATTTTAAGTCTGTGCAGTTAACATTTATATTGAAAGTATCTTTTATAGTAAAAAAAATTTAGTAGTAGTATGATAAGCTCAACTTTAGAAAAATAAGCTAATTCTTCCATAACATAAACATTTTAAAGTGTTTGATCTGAATCTAAATAATTGAAAATTGAGAAATTGTTCTTTCATATGTAAGTGTGGGTGTTTCATGTTCATGTGTATGTAGATGCATGAATATATACATGTTCCTGATGAGTGTCTGGAGGAGTGTGCGTGTGCCTGTGTGTGTGTGTACATGCACATATGTGTGCACACGTGTCTCCAGGTGAACCTTGGGTGTTAGTCCTTGGGAGCCTTTAAGACAGTTTCCCATTAGGACCTAGGGCTTTCTGATTAGTCTAGACTCTCAGGGTCTCCTGTGTCCTCTCCCTGGCACTAGGATTACAAGTGTGCACCTCTGTTCTAGAGTGTCTTACTAGATGCTAGGGATCAAACTCAGGTCCTCACACTTGTACCACAAGCACTGTACTGGTGGAGTCATCTCCCCCATACCCGGGAAAATATATTTGTTGCTGGTCTACTTGCTCTGTGTTTACAGTTCCTGGCCTTTCACTTGTTACCCCACCAAGCCGAAGCTTACTAAGACACCCAGATATTTCCTGCATTCTCGGAACGGAAGGGAAGTCTCCCCGGCACACACAGTCTTCTGGGTTCTTGGGAAATCTATCCATGGTATGTAGAAATAAATAATGCACTTAAGTATTTGGCTTAAAAGCCTTTTAATGCGCCGGGCGTTGGTGGCGCACGCCTTTAATCCCAGCTCCCAGCACTCGGGAGGCAGAGACAGGTGAATCTCTGTGAGTTCAAGGCCAGCCTGGTCTCCAGAGTGAGTGCCAGGATAGGCTCCAAAGCTACACAGAGAAACCCTGTCTCAAAAAAAAAAAAAAAAAAAAAAAAAAGCCTTAATGAAAGTTGAAGTTACGGAGAGATATTTGAACAAAAATCTAATATTGGAGCATGTCATGTCACAGAAGGAAAAATGACAGCAGCAAAAGCAACAGTTAGATATAGGTAAAATACCTGAATCTGGCTGTTTGCTAACCAAATGAAATGTATTATGAAACTGGTGATGGCTGTTAAAGCCAAGCCCTGTTTTGTTGGTTGTTTGGTTTTGGTTCTGGATTTCTTTCTTTCTTTCTTTCTTTCTTTCTTTCTTTCTTTCTTTT